TTATTTACCCTCGGCAATGTTTATAGCATAAGTGTTAGTGGGGCCGAGCAGACAATTGAAACAAATAATTCAAATTGAACATAACATCGTTAAGACTGGCCGGAGGAAAACCAGTTGGTTATTTACAAGCGTGGCCGAGGATTTGAACTCGGGACCACCGAGAAACAAATCCAGGTAGTGGTCAGAGCGGGACTCGAACCCGGGACCGCTAGATTACTAATCCGACACGCTGACCACTCGGCCACGCTGCCTCCTACGTAACTAATCGATGACATCAAATAAATCAATTACTGTTCAATGGGTAAGGTAAAGGTAAACTCTGCATACGAGCCAAGTGACCCATCAGGTCGGAAGTTATCCCAGTTTCTGTAGCACGAAGCGACTATCAATATTTCTACTCCCTCCTGAATGGGATGCTAGTCCATCGCAGAGTTACCCGCAGCATTAAATTTGCCGGTACTCATTTATACACCTGGGTGGAGAGAGGCACTGTGACTGTAAAGTGTCTTGCCCAAGAACACATCACAATGATCTCGGCCAGGACTCGAACCCGGACCTCTCAATCCGCAGTCGAGCGCATTAACCATGAGGCCACCGCGCCTCTGGGTAATCGATGGGTAATCAGTTGATTGTTTTATTTCCGATGATCAATTGGCGAATAAATCGATAGATCACAACACTTCTGGTCATCGATTACTTATCGATTACTCATCGATTACTCATCGCTAATAATCCATGACTAATCATAACAATTACAATTTCCTCAAAGGTGATTGGTGCATAAACCGCTGTATTTTGCCCTAATTAATCTGGAAAGTTGTAATCGGGCAGTTAATCGGACAACTGTAATCGGACAGTTACATGACCCAATCATTTTAAGTCCTCTCCACTAAATCCACCAATCACAACATTGATTACAATCACTGTAGTAACCGATTCAAGAGACTGACTTTGTAAAATTCTGGAGGCGAGTTTAGTCTCCGGTGACTGTTTTGAAAGTAAATAACAGCCATTTTGCAAGCTTTTCTCCATATTTTTAATTATGATATTTAAAAATGACTATTAAAATTGTAATTGTTATGATTAATTGGTAACAGGATTCGTGATTAACAAATCGGACTCCTGCTTCGCGGTCGTCCGATTTCGTTAATCACTCGTATGATTACAGACCGAATTACCATTATTAATCAGTTGATTACTCATTGATTACCGATCGATAACTCATTGATGTCATTGATCATCGGTTAGTCACGTCTGGAAGGAAGCAAACCAAATAAAGAATACACGAAACCTGTTACAAACTGAACCACAAGGATGTCATTCTCCTGATCGTAGTCTCTGTTGAACGTCACCGTGACGTCAAACGCCTGTCCCCTTCTAAGTATCAGTTCTTGTATCTCGTAGTCATCTGTTTTATGGGCCTCCCTGTTTTCCTTTTTGTGAAGCTCAACTGTCACAGGTTTTAACTGGGAGAATGCAGCTAAAAAAATATATAAAAGACATTGTTTTAAGATTGTGCGGACGGCAAGATCTTTGTAGCGGATGGATATGTGTATGTGTGTGTGCATGATCAACTTTTTGTGTGATGTGAAAAACTTTGATATACGCAACAAACAAACTTAGTGTGTAGTGCACATAAACCCTCGGGGAAGTACTCATCATGCCTATAATAAACTATAATAGTTATAAAGGCTCCAACGGGTCTGGTATTTTAGTCGTGTTGGTTTGAAAACAGGGCTTGTTTTCCCCTATGACCTGGAATTTGGTATGCGGTTCCGATGAAAACTATATTTAGAAATTTGAAGCCATTGCACAAAAGCTAATGTCTCGCATTTGAGAAGTGCATTAATTTTAGAGGCTTTAAATAGAGACGGTAATCTTTGGATCCTATCTGAAATTGACTACATAACGAGAAACATATATTTTGGTCCGAAATAGGGTAAGGCTTTCAACAGACACGCTGTGCGGCCCCATCGAAAATTTTAGAGAGTGCTTGAGATCTACCTGGACATACGATCACCAAACCAATGAAACGTTAAGTGAAAACGTCTTGAGTGTCGAGGTCTACTGAACACGAAGGATAAACGCGCTCGAGCGTTGTTTTTTGTTTTTTGTTTTTTGTTTTTTGTTTTGTTTTGTTTTGTTTTGTTTTGCTTTTGTTTTTTTGGTTTTTGTTTTTGTTTTTGTTTTTGTTTTTGTTTTTGTT